GGACAGGCGGGAATCGAACTCATGAGGAAGCGGCTCCAGATTCTCAGTGCTGTGCTTTAACCCGCTGCGCCACCAGGGAGGGCCTGATTAATTTATTTTTAATAGACTTTTTTTGTTTTACAACACTGTAAGATTCAGAGGTATAGGATCACACTTCTTCAGATGCATGTTACCACACCCACCACCAGGCACCCAGTTTTGTTTTTATAATAAGGTGAAGGTATTTAGAAATATATTACTTAAAATCATGTTTAAATGTTAACATGAAACTCTGTTCTTTGGCTATTATGGTATTTAACATGGCCAACTGTCACTATTTTGTATTAAAAAATAATTTATCACAAGAAAAGAAAACAAAAATATCAGTGTGCCTTTCAATAAATACTCAGGTCTCTTGACGCCTCAGGTATAATTAGTATTTTATCAATACTAGCTGCTGATTGATCATTCCATCTCTGCCCATAAAAGATGTGCTTAATCCAGCCTACCGGGTGTCATAACTTACCCTTATTCAAATTTTATATCCTTTATAATTTATTGCTATTTATAAACTACTTGCTTTACTTTTTACTACCAACCCTTTCCTTGTCTTCTAAGCAAGTATTTTCATGAGCTACAGTAATCACATATAAATTATATAAGTCTTCCATTTGCAAACAAAACGAAATTCTAGCATAATGTTTCTTCTATTTTTCTTTCAACTCTTTTCTATTTATTTTACAAACCTGTCTATGTTAGAAACAACATGACTGTTTTCAAATGCTATTGCTATATTTCAGACTATTAGTTGGCTAACTAAAATACACATGATGAAATTTTCGTGACCCTTGAGTCATTAGTTAGCACTCTTGATATACTCAATCACTCATTCAACAAATAGTGGTTTAAATCCAAAGAGCTGGCTGAGAAATTATAGGAGAGACAAAAGTGAATTAGACATATTCTTTCCAAATTTGGCAGAGACCTTCTCCTGGGTTTATAGGGAAGCTATATATCTTAGCCTCTACTTCAATTATGATGGGGCCTAGTTGTCAGTGCAAGTGATAAAAAGACATCCCACCAGGTCTTTAACTTAAACCAATTACTTCTCCTATTCTGCTATAAACTTAAGTCATTTAGTATTTGAGATAGCAGAAAAGCAGTATGAAAATAACCAGGATTCTATGTCAATGTGTAAGGGAGAACTGTGTAAATCCAAGAAATAACAACCCCTATATTTATCAGTCTGCATCAAATATAATGGCTAATTGATATTCTATGCAATGCAGATTTTGGTATGTAACAGTTCATGTGTAGAAACAATGTTGGAAAATTGAGAGCAGAAGACTAATTTTGCCTGTGGGAGTCAGAACAAGGGGCCATGAAAAAGATGTCAGTTAGGGGTGTATCTGATATACTTCGACAAAAAGGGGATTAAAAAGTACTACAGACAAAAACAGTGTGAATAAAAAATCAATATATTAGGAAACATGAAGCTTTTATTGAAATCTTCAGAAGTTCATTAGGCAACTGCAAGGGAATATATGTGTAAGTTGCAAATGAAGTAACCAAATCTAGAATAATGTTTTGCTTGGAATTTTCTAACTTGAAAGGGGAGGCTCAAGATGAGTTATATAATTTGTGAAACCCAGTAAAAAATGAAGATCTAGAGCCTTCTGTTCAAAGACTGTTAAGAAATTACAAATGGCTATGGTGGAATAGTAGACCAAGTACAAAGACTTTGTTTAAAAAAAAAAAAAAAGATTACTGTTGCACTGCAAAGGTCACATGCTCATGAAGCCATGTCTAAATACCTTAGTCACTATCTTTCCCAGTTACTAGAAAAAGATGCATTTAGGTGGCATTGCAACTCCGAATAATTTGCATAGAATTCTCAATCCTCAGAAAGAGAAGAGTATTTATGGTAAGAAATTCTTTGGTAAGTCACTAGGCATGGAAGATGAAGCCACCAACATGAAAGCTGTATCTAAACATGAATGCTGGTGCATAAAATGTTTCTGACCCATTCATCCATATAGTGTTCCCTACAACAAGAATCAAAAAACATGGTTCTAATATGAGGAAAATAAGAGGCCTCTCTGGTGGCTAGGGGTTATTAAGTCCTGTCAGCATTATCACCTCTATGGCCTGAATTCATCCCTGGCCAGGGAGTAACCCACAAATGGCGTGGCAGACCTCTCCAGTCTCGCCCACTACTCCCCTCAACAGTATATTTCAGCAGATCCATCTGTTCTGTTCTCCACTCTCTCGGGAGAATCCTCTGTGATTCCCTGCACCTCTGGCCTATGCCCCAGTTCTTCTATGGAAAAGTAAATAAAATTTTAGAGATAATAATCAGAAAAACAAGAAGCTTCAGAGGTTGCAGGTGCAAAACAGAAGTAATTTTAATGTATTTGGAACTTTACATTTAATTACAAAATTGATAAGTGCATTTTTTTAACTAGTATTTTTGAGGACTGCTTTGGCATTCTTAAGGAATTAGAATGATGAAAGTTATGTCCAAGAATAAAAGTAAAAAGAAACAAAAAAGGGGGAGGGTTAAGAACAAAAAACACACATAGCTTACCATTTTTTTGACTTCAGCCGGGGAGGAGGGTTTCTAGGAATGAGAAACAGCGCTCTCATTGGATGCATGTCACAGAGAGCTAGGAAAAGGAGACAGTGGTGTCAGTATGGTACTTACTTTATTCATTCTTGATTCCTAGGGCTCATTCACAGTATCAGATATATCTGATTGGTAGGCTTCATATCAAGTAGTCTAGCCATTCAGTTATGAACCTCAGGGCATACCTTGAATTCCCAATTTAAGCAAAGCAAAATATAAAGAGGACAAGGGCAACAAAATGAATATACAATTTCAAATAGATGCTGGGAAGTTCATAAATGAAAGATAAATATTGATTCAAAGTCTTAAAGGAATTAAAACTTAGGTTTCCAAACCATGTGTGAGATTACAATGAAAATAATTACATTTTTATAGTTGTGAGGATTAAATTCGCACTGTTTATAAAGATGTTCCCTCACACAAGGACTGGCTAGAGTAATGCACAGTGAGGCCCTCCAAAATGTTAACTGCTCATTGTTAAAGCTAGTATTACTATAAAAGAGCAAAACTGTGAGAATAAAACAGTTTAATTCTGTGCAATTAACGTTTTGTACTCATTTCTTCAATATAAGCACAGTTGGTGTGCGCACACACAATATGCAATGTGTATTTTGTGTTTATCTTTATGAGACTCTTACAAGACAACTGAGAAATGGAGGTCAAAGAGAAAGACAATATAATTCTCATTGTGAAAGAAAACTGAGCTAAAGGACCAGGAAATATTTCCCATCTCAGTTCTTCAGTGGGATACATGTAGTTTCAAGACAGGTATCTATTTATGTATTGCAAAATAATTCTTAGATGTTGTTAATTTTTTCCCATTCATTCAACAAATATTTACTCAGCAGTAATTATGTACCAGTCACACATCTTTGATGATAGCTTTTGTTTAAGGGGATGAGGAGAAAATGCTGTTATTTTCCTTTGTTTTCTGTAATTCCCTCTCTTGTCCCTGATTAAAAATCAATCTTATGAAGTTTTCATGGATTTAGAAGCTAAATTACAAATGCAAATCATGGAACCAAATAAGTGCCCTTCAACAGATGAATGGATAAACTGTGGAGTATATATATTCAATGGCATATTATACAACTGTTAAAAAGATTAAACTGGTGGTATTTAGGACAAAATGGATAGATTATGAGGTGGTTTTGCTGAATGAGATCAGTCAAAAAGTAAAAGATTTCAGATGGCTTCATCTGTGGAATATAAACATCCCAAAAAACAATTACATGAAAACAATAGAAGAAATAAAAATTCGAACTTAACAATAAATAAATAAAATAATAACAAAAGGGGTGAAGAAGATGGGGTACAGAGGCAGATGGGGTATGGGTATGGGTGGTTCCATGGAGCTAATAAGCTATAAGAAATAGATAATACACATTGCCCTCCTTGTGATAATTCTGTATTAACCCTTTGAATCCACTATCTGTACCCTACAATTAAAGTTCCATTTCTGTATGTGTGTGTGTGTGTGTGTGTGTAAATGTAAATCTCTATATAAATAAGGATCTAGATATACATATCTATATATATAGGAATTTTAAATACAACCTAAATACATAAAAATAGAGCCTATTGACCTCAGGAGGAGCTCCTAAGAATAGTGAATGAAAATAGATTCTTTACACCTAAAACGTCATGGCATTTAGGATTCTTTTATCGAAATGCCCACCAGTAAAGGCTTTATCCACATATCTGTTCGTTCTAAAGTTATGAACCTGGGTTTCAGTTACATGTACCAACCAAACTGTAAAGAAAAGAACACTACTTACGGGGAGCACCCTCTGCCATCTCAATGGCTGTAATGCCACAAGACCAAAGGTCACTCTGCAAAAATAAAAGAGCATGTTATAGATTCACTTAGCTATGAAGCTGGTAACCGACCATTGCTGGTTATTTACACAAATGAAATAAAGGCATTCTCTGGTGTATAAAGGGAAAAGAAATCTGCCGGGAAGCAATAAGCACAAACACATTAGTAAGCACATCTTACAAATGAATGGATAACTGATAAAATAAAGATTGGTTTGTTAGTTATAATCATTCATATCTATGAAATAAACCAGAGATGATCTTTGTAAGAATTTCTAAGTGCCCACTGCATCATTCTCTGCTAGTAAGTTTTTTTGTTTCCTTACAGGTATTTGACAATTTAGATTCATAGTTCTGATTGACCTTTATTAATATTTTTGTTAGTATCTCAAACTTGATTTAGATGTAGAAAGTTTAAAGGTTAGAAAGCATTTAAAGGTTCTGAGCTGAACTCACAGAATCTATCATAGTACACTAGTTTGAATCATGCTTCTGGGTTTCTTCATTTCTCCCTCACCCAAATGAGTAAGCTACAAGTAAACTACCTATCTTGTAGTTGTGCATGAGAACTTCTTTCTCTGATTTCCCTGAAATATTAATCTCAAAGTTTGAATTTTAATTTTATGCCCCAGTAAAATATGAGTTTCATAAAGGTAGGCATTTTGTTTACTTATTTACTCTGTTTCCAGAATTGTGGCTGTTAGGCACTCAAGCACAGTTGTCTTATAAACAAAAATTTTATCAGCCAACTTCTTAAAGCCCAAACAAAAATGTTCATGAAGCAAATATAGGAGAGTTACCACTGGTGTTATTTTAGCTACCAGTGGTAGCTAAAGATTTAAAGTTGTTCGGTTGAAGAGTTTATAATTTACATTGCAAAGTTCTCACCTGTGTCAGAATGTAAGAATGGGGACAGATCCACGATTTCTTATTTTTAAGGTCTTTCCTGTAGTGCAAGGGTGTGAAGCAGAGGTTCACCAACCTAATCTAATAACTGATAGCATCAGGAGGGATAAACAGATGTTCATGCCCCCTGCTGTGATGCAATATAAAGCATACCCACCCCATGAGCTTGCTAAGGTTGTTCTTGATACAGACTAAGCCTCTTCAGTTTACAGGAAACAAGCTAAATGACATTACAAAGATTTGTAAAGGTGAAATTAGAAAAATGGAAAAATCAAACTAGAGAACACTGCTGCCTCAACAAGCTGAAATCATGGGGATTAAAAAAAAAGTTGGAGGGGCTTCTCAATTGAGACATTCAATGACAAAAAAAAAAAAATCAATCAATCAAAAGACAACATTAGGAGAAAAACTGACATTTAATGGTCAAACCAGATAAACTGTGCCTTGTCCTAAGTGGTTACCACCTGTGTCTAGTTATGAGCTTCATAATAAGGTGCTTTTTTAAACTTTGGCATGATAATATTTGGGGCATGTATGAAAACATTTTAAAATTTTGGAGATATTGGCCTTCCCTGGTGGCACAGCAGGTTTAAGTGCAGCAATACAAGCTAGCCACAGCTGTTAACTGCTTCAGTGCGAGTTTGATCCCTGCCCAGGAGGTAATCCACATGGTGCAGCAGACCTCTCCTGACCTGCCTGCTGCTCCCCTCAGCAGTGTACTTCATCAGTGCCCTGTTCTGCTCCTCATTCTGTCTGGTGAATCCTCTCATAGCCCCTGCACCTCTGGCCTGCACCCCAGTTCTATATGCGTTAAAAAAATAATAAAAAAAGAACAACTCCTTTAAAAAAATTTTTGGGAGGTATTTAATAATGTATTGAAGAGTCTGTAATACATTAAAACAAAAACAAACTTTAGCAGGCAAATTCCCTTGTATCATAGGTAAAATGAGTTTCACAATACATTATTTGTAATAAATATTAAAATATACTAGGACATGTATCCAATCTTGAATAACATTAACAGATGCATTAACTACCCAGACTCATTTAGTTAAGAAAAAGTTTTTATAAGCATTCACCTGGGTATGATGGGTTCTGCAAGATCAAAAGCATGCACTTTTGATTCAAGTCCCTAGAGGTCACTCTAATAATCTAAATATGTTGTGTACCAAATCAAAGTTCCAAAGCTCTTTCAGAAGATGACGTTATTGTTGTATCTTTTGATAATACTTTTAAAATATTGACTGATTGTAATGCTCAAATTAAAAAGGAGAGTGAACAAGGCAAAAACATGACATTTACTGAGGCGTTCTAAAGTTCCATGCATTAAAAGAAACAAGCACACACTGCCTTGAAAGCAGTGTATCACCCAGAAAGGGAAAGGGAGTTGATGTACAATGGACAAAGAGAGGACAGCATGTAAGTACTGCCCTGGCAAACCTGCACTTGTAACAAGGCCCCAGGTTGTCCTCACAGCAAAGCAGAAGGGGGTAGGGAGGGAGATGTGACTTGTAAGCAGAGACCTCACCCCTCAGGAATGCAGAGCACCCACTGTGAAGGCCTACTAGCAGGCGCCTCTTACTCTGTAATCATAGGTGGCATCTGGATTCTCATCACAGGCAATGACCTCAGGAGCCATCCAGTAGGGGGTGCCTATGAAAGTATTTCTCCTCCCAACCGTCCTGTCCAGCTGAGCACTCACACCAAAATCGACTGTGGAAGGAGAGGAGAAAAGAAAAGGTAGAACAAAATTAAAGAACAATTTTAATACTAGACAAAGAAATGTTTAGGTAAAATTATGCTTAGTATCATATGAGTGTAAAATGAAACTACAATTTTACAGACATGCAACCTCAAGGTCACCAAGATCAGTAAGCATCCTTCCAGAAAAAAGCCACCAAGAAGATCCTGGACAGCTGGACCCTACCACCACCCTGAGTTTCTGTGAAAGTAACCATCAGAGGGACTTCCAGGTGAATTTTCTGCAAGTTCAACATGAATGACTGCTATGAACAAGATCAAATCCAGAAAGCCCCAAGAAGAAATGACAGAGACACATCTAACTTATTTCTTAAGCAGCACTGACCATATGAATAGAAGTAAACAAAAGTCTTCTGTAAAGAATACAGTACTGAGTTAAATAAAGAGAAGCAAGCAAAATCATAAATACACTAAGAAACATCCCCCTAAAGTAATGGGAACTTCTGATTTTTCAGAGTGACTCCAATACCCCATACCTAACTGAATGATGATGATGGACGGAAAGCCGAAGGCAGGACATTTGTCAGGGTCAACACTGCACACTGCCATTACCCCTAGCAAGAGGGCACAACAGAGGGGCCACTCACACATAAGGCTCTAAAGAAGGCTGAGGAATCAGAGTCACAATGTCAACTATGTGTGTAGAACGTGCTCAGAAAACCACCTGGTCACATAGCCAGGAGGGAGACTCACATGCTGAACATGACTCTGAGACAAAGGTACATGGGCCAGGCAGTCAGTGCACAGCTGTCTGCACAGCACAACAACCAATCACCAGATGATATGGGGCTATCATGGGGCTGGTGACATGCCACAAGTGTGGGAACACACACAGCTTGCTGTGTTGACAGCGATGACAACAATGCTGGGCCCCTATCTTAGCTGAGAGGGAATTTTCCAAATAGTAAACTATTCCTCCATATACAACTAATACATACAGGTGCCTAAAGAGAAAGTAATGGTGAAGAGCTGCTTTAAAAGCAGAACTACTATGCACCTAAGATTTGCGAAAGGCAGATTAGATTTTTATACAAGCAATAAAAAAAAAGTGTGTGTGTGTTTGAGTGTGTGTGTTAGAGGGAGAATGTGACTATTAAGTGACAGTAGGTTAGGAACAAGTGCAGAGCTAGGTAAGGGAATAACTATAGAATCATCTCTGGCAAGACACCGTAGGCTGTATTCATCCACACATAAACAACATTCAGGGCACAATGGTAGGCTCTGGGTAAGGACACATTGGTGAATAAAACAATCCTAGTCACTGCACTCCCATAACTGATAAAGGAGTCAGAAACTGGAAGAAATAAGTATCTATACATTATGAACAGTGATCAGCATTTTAGAGGGAATAAGTATCAAGGCTCAACACAAATCATAAGACTGGGAAAGTACCTGAGTATACAGAAAAAAACAAGTTTGGAAAACGAAGGTGTGTTCCCAATGGGGAACAGTATGTGGTGAAGGCCCTGATGCAAATGCAAGGAAAAATTTTAAAGGAGTGACTGAAGAAGGGGAGAAAAATGAGGAGGGTCACAAAAAAAAGAGTACAGAGGTAGGAGGCACCATTTTTTATGGAGTATGGTGAGAAAGGTGTCATATTGAAAGTGCAATGGGAAGCCAGAAATGGTCCTTGAGCAGGATCTGGTTTAAACATTACACTTGCTACTACACCGAGAACACTGCACGGGAAAAATGGACCAGAGAAGCCCAGCTCCAATTTCTTAGACAGAAGCGAAGTAGGAATGTTGAGTAACAGAGGAAACCTTTCGATGGACACAGAAGAGGCAGGTGTGCGGCCAGCATGCAGCACATATCTGACCGGGCGGCACAGCCATCACATACCAAGCTTCACCTCTGCATTCTCTGTCAGCAATACATTCTGACCCTTGATGTCCCGGTGAATCACATGATGGATGTGAAGATGTGCCAATCCCTGAAGAGAAAAAGACAGAGCTGAAGTTGAGTTCTTTGTCAAAGTAAAGAGCCAGACATACCTTTTTATAACAAAGTACACATCTGGATCAAAGGTTCTGTAACCGTATTTAGAACATACAATCAATCTGAGTGCATTTCCAGAAAGCCATCCTCAGTAATACCAAGAATACAGAAAGATGTACGCAGTTCCTAATTGCAATGGGCAAGGTCCCCCATGTGCACAACCACTTTCTAGCTGTTCCTTGAAGACACACTTTAGATTACCACCTTCAGTTTCTCTGCTATAATTTGTGCTATTTGTGCACAGGGTGGTTCCTTTCCCATGCTATATGTCTGTCTTTCAGTGAGTGACCCCATGGGTATATGTGAACTAGAAACTTCCCCAGGGAAAGTAAAGGACTAGAAAGGGGTTTCAAGTTTGGTGGTTAAACACTCATTTCCCCACCATACAGTGACAAAGTGCTAACTATTGATAAATCTCACTGTCGGCCAAAGTGTAAAACAATTCTGCCATCAAAAGGACTTTATATTCAAATAAAATGGCTTCCTTTCTCAAGGAAATAAGCCCTGCTAGGTATACATAGCACTTCTGATGCTTTCTATCTGGAGTGAGAAAAGGTGGTGAAAGAACAAAACACATGCGGGTCTCAAGGACAGAAATGCACCATTGTCACAATTCATTTGTTTGTTCCATCATACAGCTACTGAAGTCAAAATGAACAGCCTACCCCTTAAAGTTACTAGCAAACTATTACTATGTCTCAATGCAAAAAGATCAGAAGAGTTTATCTGATTTTCCAGTTAAGTTTTTTTGTGGGTACTATTGCTATCATTACTATGTTATAGGACATGGATTAAATACAGCAGCTATTCTAGAACAATTCTAGTCTAACAAAGAGAATTTCTTAAACAATCATTTTACTGAAACAAAATTAAACTTATTTGATGACTCACTCTGTTTATTTTTCTACCACATAGGATGTGCACTGTTATACCACAAAGCACTGACTAGGGAAAAAAGCACTAAAAATAAATGGTATCTTAGTGCTATACAGTTAAAACAAAAGTTCCTCCTTTCAGCGTGCTATAACTTTGAGAGATGAAAAAATGTCATGTCCTTAATCTTTCCAATTCCTACTTTTTAAACTTGATTATATTTTTTATTGCCTAACTTGCACAAATCCTCTACTTACACTTAGCAACAAACTCAGTATCCATGTCTTCTCAAACAAATGTGGCCTTCATGCATTCTTACTCCTTAAGGGAAGTGAATGTTAAGACATGTCTCCTTACCTATGGCCAAAGGACGGTTGCTTGTACACATGGGACTGTGCAGACTCTAAAAGTGCCTTAAAAATGTTAACCTATGATTACTATGCACAATGAATGCATTTATCCTGTATGAAATGACAAAGGGGTGGTGGGGGTGGGAGGGGAGCAGGGGAGAGAGATGCCCAAGCTCTAAAAGTTAAGTCACAATAATTATGTATTTCAAGTTCAAATACACAATATATACCCATCCTACTGGGTTTCAAAACTAAGAAAACATTCTTCCTGTATCTCTAGCTCCTTCATGGATAGTCAACAAAGGAAAAAAGACCCTTCTTTAAAATTATGAAAGGTTACCAGTGCCCATACTGACTTGTACCAAAATGCGTAAAATGTGACTGTAGAAAAGGGTCAGAAAGAACGTACTACCATTATTCATAAACTTGTGAATCTTAAAAATAAGTTTCAGTGGACCAGTTCAAGAGAGCATTCCTGCTGTCCTACTGATGTTGGAGGCCTATACTCTCATGTCTGAACCTTTTGAGAATCTTAGAGTAACACCAACTAAATTTAACACCTACCCCCATAAATTAGCTACTCCCAGTTGTCTTTCAAAATCCAGGCTTTACCTGCCTAGAGGTGATCACTTTCCTTTCCTATGAGAGTTCACCTCCTTCCCACCATGTTGTTTTTACAGTCACAGTAGCTAACTCAGTTACTCCTACAATAAGCATATAATTCAGCATCACAGACAGATTTTTCCAGGGGCATTATTTTTTATTTAGTTCATTATGCTATACTGGACGTAAAAAACCCCCATTCTAGTTAAAGTAGAGATGAAGGAAACTCATGTTCCAGAGTATCTACAAGGTAGAAAACATTTGCTGAGTCTCAAAAAGCTGTCCATTAACGTCCATTAATGTATTATATTCAGATCAATGGGGCCTCAAACAACCTAGGCCTCTTTTAAATGTTGCCTGAGTTCAATGGTGATAAAATAGATAAATATATTTACTACATATGATAAGGAAATAATATTTGCTTTGTATATAAGAACATGTAAATTGTTGTTGTTTTTTTTTTTAAGATTTATTTATTTGTGCGTACAGAACTGGGGTACAGGCCAGAAGCTCAGGGGCGGTGAGAGGCTTCACGAGAGACAGAGTGGGGTGCAGAACAGGCAGACCAACTAAGTACACTGCTGAGGGGAGCAGTGGGCGGGTCAGGAGAGGTCTGCCACGCCATGTGGTCACCTCCGGGGCAGGCGGGGATCGAACTCATGTGGAAGTGGCTTTAGCTTCTTAGTGCTGTGCTTTAACCCGCCGCGCCACCAGGGAGGGCCATAAATTGTTTTTGAAAGCTAAAATACATTTGATGCCTAGGACACTTAAACTAAAACCTCGTTCTCTGTTTGCGAATCCCACACTGGAACAATGACAACTAATATGCACCAAGATCTAGTTATGTAACCACATGTTATAATATTCATATATACTAATATTTAATTTTTATAGTAATGGAGAGTAAGTCATAGGATTGTGTCTAAAATTTACAAAGTTCCGAAAGTTGAATAACTTTGCCAAGGGTGTGCAATAGGTAAGTAGCACAAGTTACCTAAACCCAAATCTGACTAACTGAAACATCCATATCCTTAACCATTGGTCTTTCTTTCCACTGAGTTTCAGTTACTAATATAATAAATACATCTATCCATTCACTGGACTCCCTCATAGTAGTGTAGAGTAGATACTTATTCCCCACCTTTAGGTTCTTCTTCCTACAATAGTCTTAACTGGTAGGAACCTGCCCGCTGCTCCCCTCAGCAGCCTTTTACTCCATCTGCCTGTTCTGCTTCCTGCTCAAGTCTCTGGCAAATCCTCTCACCACCACCCCCTGCCCAACTCTGGCCTGTACCCCAATTCTTGTATGAATAAATAACTCTTTAAAAAATAAAAAGTGGGGGCCCTCCCTGATGGCGCAGCGGGTTAAAGCACAGCACTAAGAAGCTGAAGCCACTTCCACATGAGTTCGATTCCCACCTGCCCCAGAGGTGACCACATGGTGTGGCAGACCTCTCCTGACCCGCCCACTGCTCCGCTCAGCAGTGTACTTCATGGGTCTGCCCATTCTGCTCCCCACTCTGTCTCTGGTGGAGCCTCTCGCCGCCCCTGAGCCTCTGGCCTGTACCCCAGCTCTGTATGCACAAATAAATAAATCTTTAAAAAAAAAAAAAGATAACAGTCACAGACTTGCAGGATTAGGAAACGGACATCTTGGGGTTCAAAGCATACATTATTCTGACTACCACAGTTACTATTAAAAAATAATAGTAATACTTATTACTATTTAATAACAGTAATATAATATCTTAGGCCTAATGTCAATATACTAAGTACAACACACTGAACACATGAAAATAACCCTGTTGTATCAGTCATTCTCTCACTGAAAAAGCACTTTCCCATGTTTTTCAGGAAGGAAAAGATACCAACAGTCTCAGCTTATATCCTGCTCATACAGTTGCTGAAGTGAACAAGTTAATGTCCACTCATGTTTGTTCTTCCTATGCAGATGTATAGTTATTTCATCATATCTTTCAGAAGGCAACATTTAAACCAGATATCAAGTTTCTCATATTTATTCTCTCCTAACTTGTCACAGGTATAGGGTCACTTTAAAAAATTGTTCAGACATGGGCTCTTCCTGGTGGTGCAGCAGGTTAAAGCCCAGCACTACACGAAGCAGCTTCAGTGTGAGTTCAAGTCCCTGCTCCGAGGTGACCCACATGGCGGGGCAGAACTCTCCTGTCTCACTCGCTGCTCCCCTCAGCAGTGTATTTTGTCAATCTGCCTATTCTGCTCCCCACTCTGTGTCTGGTGAATCCTCTCACCACTCCTGCA